AAGAACATCACACTAAATAATTCGATAGAGAATGAAGATAATTCCACTCCACTACTTGACGGTTTGATATGTTCCATATACGGATCTTGCAAGGGAACCAGAGAGTAAGACACGATCCTTGATGAGCTTGAATCTCTGGACAAAAATGCAAAGCACTTAGATCTTTATGAGACTTCCATCTCCATCGCTCTATGCATTATCAATGGGTGAAAGTGAGACTTCCCTGAAACACTCAAGTTATCAACACAAGAGATTGAGTTCTTCAACCAATAAGAACGAAACAATGGAGGTACAAAAACAATTAAATTATGAACCCATAGCTATTGGAACTCAACCTATACATGAATTTGAGTCTACGAAATCAAACTCCAAATTTCTGATTCGAGCCTAAACCGAGATCGAACGATGAACATTGCAGGTAAATGCGACAATGGAAACATCTCTTCAAGCATTACCTCAAATTTCATAAGAAAAACGATGAACAGGACTACAAGATTGTGAGAGAGAGTGTACCATCTCCCTGAATCAAGGTAAGAGGATCACAATATCTGAGAAGCTGAAATATACCATCTCCTTAACTCCTTCATCGGCGCAATAGAAGGGTTTGCCTGGCTCTCTTAATCGTTGAAGTCGTTCAGTCTCAGAACGCCGTCTCCACATCGCTTGAAGGCGGCCGAAACATGGGTGCCCATAAAATTGGGGGTTCCGGTGACGAAAACGGATAATCCATGGCGGGCACAGACTCGGGTGGAGGATCTGACCCGTTTCTCCAAGGCGAGCCCACAAAGGTAGGCGCGAAGCGAGCAACGAGAAGGATCGGAGGAAACGGGATTGGAGGAGGGAGATCGGTTGAAGAAGATGAATGTGCGGCGGAGGAGAAGAGCGAAAGAGGAAGAAGAGATAAAGCAAAATGGAATTTTTGTTTTTAATCAAAGCAAAAAAGGAGGTTTTTTTTTTCAAATTAGTGAAATTACCATCATTTTAATGTTTTTCCAAAACTTTTTACTTCATATAATTTTTCATTTTTCCTTGGAGGGCAATAAATTTTTCATTCCCGCTTAACCCTATCACAACGTTTTACAACTAGTAGCTATTACAGAGAAATGAAAGAACAAAAAATTAAGCGGGACAAAAATTATTTTTACCGCTTAACATAAT